AACATCGTCATATGGGGTACTGATAACAATGACACTCTACTCCATACCGTCTTCTGGGGGTGTGTTGTATTCCTTGTCTTCCAGCACTTGGAAGTCATACCCCAGCAGGTCAATAGGGATCGTGTACCTGCAAGGAAAGACATTCTTAATGGTTTCTTCTTAGACATCTACCTACATTTTCAATGCCACTAGCTGATCCTGCCTCTTAGCCCTGGATCCTCCACATGTCAAGACTGATGTTTTAAATATAATCTAACCACCTAAATTCAGGTTACTAATTCTCGAATGACTTGACAAGGAAATATGGAGATGTGAAGGAACGTAGGAAGACAGGAAGAGTAAAAGGTAAGACAATTAATTAAGACAATTCTTCATACTGATTCTAAAAATTTGAAGAAAGTATAATTTTTCATGCGACAATTTACATGTACTTTCTAAAAAGGAAAAAGAAATTATGCTGATGCTTTGAGCAAAGAGCTTTGGCTACTTTGTTACGCTCTGACACAGCTTAGATATTTTTTCTTATGAGCTTTTTAAAAACGACCCTTTTTACCTTAAGCACAACTGCCCCTATGCACCATACCTGTCCTCTACTGGCACCACGTTTTAGTAAAGGTAAAGTTTAGAAGCAGACCAACCAGTCTCCCTTATACGTGACATTTGTAAATAATAGCTTTGTCTCAGTCTAAATATGGGGTGAAAGTGGAAGCCAGTGCGCTTGAACAACTAGAAGAGGAGGAAGAACTAACGAATGGACACGATATCACATATGAAGTAAATCATAGCGAATTGTAAATAATCATATCAAAAATGGCAATAAACACTATAACAATAATAATAATGTTAACAACAATAATAAAAACAACAACAATATAAACAACAACAACAACAACAAGATCTTCATCATCATTGCAATAATTATCATAACTGTTAAAGGGTATTAGAAAAGTAAAATGAATGAATATTTGGTTTATGTTTTGATATACTTGTGTTAGTCAAAAAGGAGGTTCAAACTCATCATCAAAATAGCAATAGCAATAACAAAAACAATAACTATAACAATCATCAGCAACATTTATTAAGGCAAATTCTTTAAACGTTGGATCGAGCAATTATCGTTGAGGAAAAAAGAGAGGTACACACTTCCGAGCATAATTTTGCTGGGCACCGGTTAAGAACGCTTGTGTGAAGAAAAATCCGGAAATCCAAAAGGACGGCGGAGGTCCGTTGTCATACCAGTTTTGTAAGAACTTGGGAAAGCAAATATATCATAGGATTATGATTAGATAGATAGATAGATAGATAGATAGAGAGATAGATAGATAGATAGATAGATAGATAGATAGATAGATAGATAGATAGATAGATAGTTAGATAGGCACTCCGATAATTAGATACTTAGAGACATAGATAGATGCGTAAATACATAGATACACATATATATTGACAGGTTGGTGGATGAGAGGGTTGTGGGTAAGTGGATTAAAAGATGGATTAATGGATGGATGGTTAGATGGATGGGTAGATGGGTGGATATGTGGATGGATGAATGGGTGGATGGATTGATGGATGGATCGGTGGATAAATAAACAGACGTGGTGGCAGCGCTTATGACTGATGCATGCATGGATAATAGAGAGATCAAGGAGTGGACTGATCATTGTCATCACAAGGTAGCTATTCATTTAAAAACTTGTCAGGGAATCCAATAGCCACGTCAAGGACAGCTAGTCCAAGATTTCTCCCACGTACACGTTTTCACGCGTGGAAACACGCACACACATACAATCACACAGTCTCTCTCTCTCTCTCTCTCTCTCTCTCTCTCTCTCTCTCTCTCTCTCTCTCTCTCTTCTCCCTCTCTTTCAGTTTGTCTGTTTATCTGATTCTCTCTTTTGCTCTCTCTTTGTCTCCCTCTCTCTTTCTTTCTCGCTCTCTATCGATCTATCGATCTATCTATCTATCTATCTATCTATCTATCTATCTATCTATCTATCTATCTATCTATCTATCTATCTATCTATCTATCTATCTATCTCTCTCTCTCTCTCTCTCTCTCTCTCTCTCTCTCTCTTCTCACATACATACACACAAAGAAAGACTTACGGTTTCATGACCTCTCTTGTCACCATCATTTCACTAGACGAAAATTCTATATTTTCGAGTGGTGAATAGTTTCTCGCTTAGAAGCAAAAACGAGAATGAATTACAACATCATTCTCCCAGTCCATCTATGAATGGCAAGATGGTAAAAGTGAATTTTCACCCTCACTTTTTCATATGATAAGTTAAAAGCTTGGAGACGCCGGGCATACTCAGTTGGTCAAGAATACTTCCAAACGAAGAGCACTGGGGGAAAACGATCAGTCACAAACTAAACATTGTGAGGGTGCCAATTTTAAAAGATTGTGTACTCATAACTTCCTATTTGTTTGACTGGTGGTTTGTTCTTAATTGTTGCTGAATGGGAAATCTAACAACAGTTGAATAGAAATACAGTTATGAGTCAACAAGCGTTCAAAATTGATACCTTCACGATTTTCAGTTCGAAACTATGGTCGTTTTCCCCTGTGGCCTTCAAATGGAGGCCTCAAGTACACTTTATTCGAGTATATATTGCTGTATGTGACCGTTTGGTTTACTCACTTGCAGTCGGGTGAGAAAGTCGTTGATGTAGCTCCCTAATGGTTTCAGAGACGGGTAGGAGTATTTCTTGAAGAGTGCCGGGATCTTCCCGGTAAGTATGCTGGCCACCACTTCTTCCATGTCGCCCGACATCACTACCATACCCTGAGAAAAATATATATCAACATTTGTTGTGGTAAATGCAAACAAAAGCAGCCCGCTTAGTTGTGACAGGGTTCAGTGAGGGGGGGGGGGATAAGGGTAACTCGATTACGGAAGTTGTTTTTTAGGACAATAGCGCTGTGTCCACCCAGCTCAAATCGTGCGTGTGATATTTGTCTATATTCCTTGTGAGCCACACCTCGTTAACCATTCGACCACTTGAACCCCCCCCCCCTTTTTTTCTGACTTTTTCATTGTGCATTAGTAAGATGCCTTGTAATAAGATTGTCGCGTTCCTATCAAAAACCAAATACCAGTGTTTCAAGTGATTGGTTCTAAGGCGAAGAATTTTAAGAGTATCTTTTTACCAACCTTGGTTCAATTTAATTTCGAGTCCAACCCTGATTAAATTTTTTTTGTTTTTTGTTTTGTTCTATCGGGAAACGACTTTATTTCGATGTCTCAGATCTAAATGGAGAGAAAACATCAAAACAAAGAGCAAGCTTAACGCTGAACTTCAAACAAACAGTTCAAAAAGTCAAACATCGATTGTTCTTTCAGGCAGGTCGTCCGAGGGCACAACTGATGGATCCCATTCCTTCTCTTTCGCACATACTGTTTCTGATTGTCAACTTTACTGGGGGGCTCCAGTGGCTAAGCAAGTAGTGAGTTTAGACTCAAGTAATGCCAAACAAGTGTCGGTGATACGGGGATCAGATGAGTGGTCACTGGAGTGTGTCCTTGAGCAAGACACGACAACCCTAGCTCAAAATACAGGGCGCTGCACAGTGGCGACCGACAATGGCATGGTTGTAAACTGTACTGTATTTGTGTAATATTGTGTATTTATGTACGTATTTGTGCATGTATTTATGTATGTACGTATTTATAATATGTATTTATGTATGTATATGTATGTTTGCCATTGTAAACCAAAGTGCCCTTCTGGGAAAAATAAAAGTGTAATTTATTTATTTATTTATTTTTTACTTTCTTAAAGCGCTGAGACGACCTTACTCAGCAGATCACATCACGTCATTCTTCCTCTAAACTGAACCAAGTACCTTGAGGGCTTTCCGGATGTTGATCAGGGTACTGCGCACTACGCTGAGCAGCCTGTTGAAGCGCACCATCTCCTGCACCAGCACTGTGTTCATGCTCTCGCTGTACGACGTCGGGTACTTCCTCAGGGCGATCTCCGTGTCGAAGTTCTCCGGAAGCCGCTCGAGAATGTCGGCTGACACGCTGTCCACAACTTCGTCGGAGGATTTGCCTCCCTTGGAGGATGATGTACCCTAAATAGAAACACATACTTGGCTTCACATTCTAACATAGTGGTGAGTGTCACGTGTCCACATGTGATGCAATTCGGACAAACTAGGCTGCGGGCTGTTTTGACACTGCCTGTGAAGGCCGGCCCAGACCAAAACGGATACAGCATCGACGCTTGAAGACGGTTATACTCAGTGAAATAGACATACTCATGATGGAACTTAACTTGTTAAAAGAGGTGAGAACCGTGGAGTGTTTGAGGGGCTTTGAGAATAGGAACGAAAAAGAGTTGCATGAGGAAACTATAAGTATGGAATGCTGTTTTTCTTAGATAGTGGAAAGAATGTGTTTTTCTAGAACATGTTCCATATTTTAAAAGTTAGGTCTCGCAATATCGCTGTAACTCACCAGCGTCATGAGAATGTTGTCAAAGAGCAACTGTGTCTCAGCCTGGTTCTTTGTGATCTCGGCATTTGAGTGCATGCCGAAGACCTCTGGGGCAGCTAGGATAGGCAGGCTTTGGGTGTACGTCAAATAGCTCTCGTGCTGGAAAGACGTACAGTGCGGACAAAGACGAAAGGCAACTTTGATTTATGAATACGCTCTATGAAATGAGTTGCAATGTGCAGAAGTTTGAAAACCTTTTAATTCTTCTTTTTTTCTTTTTCTGCCATTCTTATAATCCCCCCTCTCTCTCATTTTCTCTTTATCTATCTATCTATCTATCTATCTATCTATCTATCTATCTATCTATCTATCTATCTATCTATCTATCTATCTATCTATCGATCTGTCGATCTATCTATCTATCTATCTATCTATCTATCTATCTATCTATCTATCTATCTATCTATCTATCTATCTATCTATCTATCTAACTATCTATCTATCTATCTATCTATCTATACAATATGTTTATATATATATATATATATATATATATATATATATATATATATTAATCAACGACTCACGTCTCCGTCTGGCGGCAGTTTGTACAGTCTGTCCGGGTCAAAGTAGAACTCGTCCTGGGTGACCAGCTCCGGGCAGTAGAAGCGGTTCAGGATGGTCATGAGGGTCCTCCTGTCCCACCCGTCTGTCACTCGACCCCCGTAGTTACACTCCCCTGTCAGGTAACGGAGGGCTTCATACTGTACTTCCTGCAACACAAGACATATCGCTTGTTCCTTAGCTTGTTTGTTAGCTAACTTGATCGTTGACTTGTTTATTAGATAGCTTGTTCGTTAGCTTGTTCGTTAGCTTGTTCGTTAGCTTGTTCGTTAGCTTGTTCATTAGCTTGTTCATTAGTTTGTTCGTTAGCTTGTTCTTTAATTTGTTCATTAGTTTGTTCGTTAGCTTGTTCTTTAGTTTGTTCATTAGTTTGTTCGTTAGCTTGTTCGTTAACTTGCTAGTTAGCTAGCTTGTTGGTATACCTGTTTGTTAGCTTGTTTGTTAGCTAGCTTGTTAAAATACTTGTTTGTTAGCTTGTTAGTCAACGAGCGTGCTCGTATACTTGTTCGTTAGCTTGTTAGTTAGCTAGCTTGCTCATTATTTTGTTAGTTAACCTGCTTGTTCGTTAGCTTGTCATGTTGGTTAACTGTCTTGTTTTTTTTTAGCTTGAACGTTAGCTTGTTTGTTAGATAGCTTGTTCGTTAGCTTATAAGTTAGCTGGTTTACTGGTCGCGGCTCAGTGGCTTTGAGGCTTTTTCAGTGTCTCCGTATTTTGAGATTTACGTGTGTGTTTCTACTATTCATGTAAAGCCACGAAATATTTCGCAAATAGACAGACGTTGCATTCTTATCTTGTTTTGTTGTTTGTTTGCCACTTGTAAAATATGTCGACATTTTGACTTTCAAGTCGACAGGACAATGGTAAGAGGTGTCACCTGAAATATCACATGAAAGACGTTTGATTGGAAAGAAGAAGCAAACCATAACAGTATACCTGTCAGCCACCTACGGATATTTATTAATTGTAGACTCCTCTTTATTAAAATTAAGAAGCTTGGTAATGTCATTCCCCCATGACAACCGATAGCCCAATAACCACAAACGCTCTCGACTGATTTCAAAGAAGATATCTAAATATGCATACATAAGAACAGTAAGTGAAGAGCAGGCCAAACGCGTACATATTTTTGAAATGAATATCTTTCATCAACAAGTGGTTAAGATAATGTCACGAAAAGTAGTCAATTGGAATTAAGCTACTGTAGCTAGGCATGGCGTATACAAAAGAAAAAACCCTATAAAAATGAATAAATTTGTTTAGTTTAATTGTTATGTAAAATCAAGCAGATTTGAGCTTCTACAACTTCAAAAACGTTTCACTACAACGTTTTAATAATATTTCGAGGAAAAATAGTAGCAGTGTCGCACCCTGGAGATTTACACTGAGGTGTCGGTACTGCTAACAGTGGGCAATGGGGGGAGAAAGTGGTGTTTGTGGACTGCGTTAGGGGATTGGTCAGAAGGAGTCGGGTATGGTGAGGGAGTCAGGAATGGGGACGGATAGAGGATAGATGGGTGGGAAGGTTGAGGGGGGAAAGGGGGGGGATGAGGGCTCGGGAGGTAAAAATGTGGCAAGATTGGGGCGAGATGAGCGGAAAAGAACGTTGGGGTTGTCATTTTTTGGGGGTGTTTGGCTGGTTTGGGTTTTCCGAAACAAAAAAGAAAAATACAAAGTGATTTAAGTACACAAAATCAAGCCATAGAGGGAGAGAAAGAGAGAGAAAGAGAGAGAGAGAGAGAGAGAGAGAGAGAGAGAGAGAGAGAGAGAGAGCAATAGTTTATGATTAGAAAAAAACTCATCGTGGTGATGTAAACATTGAGACTTAGGTAATGCAGTAATTCGTTTCATGGATTCTGGAGAGGAAGGAGGAGCAGCTATGGCATTGTGCCGCCTGCAATGACGCCTATTCTCAAACCAAGTAACCAAGTAAGTAAGTAAGTAATTGCTTCTATTCAAGTAATAGTAACATTTAAAAAGGAGGATAGGTAAAGACAATGAATGTTTCATAGGATAGACACTGTACTTGTGCACCCTCCAACTACGGACTTTTACTTTCTACCCGATTTCTTACCTCGTATTGATTGAGGAATATCTGCAGCTGCATCACACTGATACGGAGGTCGGTGTCATTGTATTCATAAGGTATGTTCCAACCCAGAGGGCCGAATTTACGTCGTTCTTGAACCAGGGCGTGGAAAAAGCAAAGTGAGTATAACATCTTCTTGAAGATCACCTGTGAGAAGAGACAGACGCATTGAACAATTTGGCGAGTTTCACTGCGTTACTCTGCGCTGCTGGATACGTTTCGTCAAAACTGCACTTGCTTCTCCTTGTCTTGACTTGGGTTTTGTTGATCACACTCTCTGCACGAATCGCTTACTAAATTTCGTTCTCTGCAAACTAAATGATGTTTATGCGAATTGGGTTGT